AATAATAATAATAATAATAATAATAATAATAATAATAATAATAATAATACTGCGGCTGTGAAAGTATAGTAAATAACACTCTGGTAAAATACCCTTGCTGAGTTAGGCCCAAAGTCTATTATAATGTCTAAATCTACACCCAACTAGCCTCCAGTGATGTACAAGTCTAACAGCATCTTGCTTGTTACTGGTTTATAGGGACTCTGATAGCTTTATCTACCATGAAAAATATTGCCTTAAGGGCTTTCTCAGAGCATGATATGATATATAGAGCAAGAAAGCTGTCCAATGTAGAGATTTATTTTCTAGAATTTACTTTAGCAAAAGTTGGCTCAGGAGCTAACTGAAGCGAGATGAGAGAGAATGTAACTAGGAAACACAGCCAAAATGTAGACCTTAATTATTTCTAATGTCATAATAAAACATCCAAAATTACACAGTATAAATTAATGGGATATTGGTTAAGACATCCCTTCACTTTCCCACATTCAAGGGATAAAAATATGCTGTACATAACCAAAATGGCATCATATACACCTTAGAGGAAGATTTATTTCCTATTTACTGCATTTTCATCTCATTTTTTTTTCTCCTTCAAGGTTCCCTTTAAGTTGAGGGAGCTTTGCAAAGTGATTGAGGCTGAGAGAAAAGGCCCACCCATCGTGTGATTTTGAAGAGAAGGAAGAACAGAAGGGAGGGATGTGAAGGATTTTTTTTTAAAAAAGGATGTTTCTACGTTATTCTTACTTTTAAAAAGAAATTAAGGCTGCCATAAATATAAACCCACTCACCGACTCAGATTTTACTCAATGAATTCTGACTGCAAAAAGAACTAAAAGAAAGTAAATGAGGAAACGGAATGGAGTATTCTGCAAAGGGCACAGTGAATAATGTTTGTTGATTTATATACCAGTTTTTGGCCCTGAAAAGTAGCTGATGATGAAACCTATTGTAAATACACAATTCGTAACACACACACACACACACACACACGCACGCACGTATCTCACACAGGCACACCTATAAACCAGAAGCGAGATGGAATTCATCTCCAGGAAATTAAATGGCGAAAGGGGGGAAAAAACGTTAGTCACACATTAGAGCAAAACTTAGGAGAAACAACAGATACCACAGATATTTGCACAGCTGGCTGGGGAATTCTGGGTGTTGAAGTCCACTCATCTTACAAACTGTCAAGTTTGAGAAACAACTGCTAAAAGAATAGTTGTAAGAGAGGATCTTTTCCACGCTAAGTGACACCGCTGGGAAGACTCTGCTTAATGTCCCAGGTAAGTACACCTGGATGCTACGTTATAGTGATGAATAACCCTGAGTGTGCATGAAAAAAATATTTTCAGATCCTGCACAGAGTAAGCTCCTTTTAACCTGCTTCTGAGCTTGTAGAATCTCTTGAGGAATTACACAAACCATGATAAATTACGGGCTGTTGAGAACTAGCAGGAGGAAGCCGTTCTGTTCCCCTCACCGGTTTTTTTTTGGGGGGGGGGATGCAATCCTATACCCCAGGATCTCATAGCCTGCCGTGGAATGCAGGAAAAAGGGGTATTAATTCACACATATGGGTAGCCCTTGACTTACGACCATGATGGAGCCCCGAATTTCTGTGGCCAAGCGGGGTTCTTAAGTGAATTTTGCTCCGCTGTTAAGTTAGCAATAGAGCCATTTGGTGAATCTGGCTTCCTGCACTGAATTTGCTGGCCAGCAGGTCGTAAAAAAGGGGACCAAGTGATCCCAGAACACTGCGTCCATCATAAACACGAGCCGGTGGTCCGAATTTCCATCGTGTGACCGTGGGGAGGCTCCAATAATTGTTAAGTATGATAAATTGTCTACTTGCATTTTTTTACATGCTTTTGAACTGCTAGGTTGGCAGAAGCTGGGACAAGTAACGGGAGCTCGCTCCGTTCCGCGGCGCTAGGGATTCGAACCGCTGAAACTTTTTGATCGACAAGCTCAGCGTCCCTTAGCCGCAGAACCACCGCGTCTCATAATGAGAGGTAAAAAGAAGCCAATTGATTTACACCAGAAATGCTTCCTCCTGTTTTCCCCACCCGGATTTTTTATTTAAAAAAACAGTTAATATGTGCGTAAGATCGAATCGATTTACCTATTGTAATGACGTTTGTGGAAAGGAAGGAGCAGGGTTGTCCTGAATCAGGAAGCATCTTGTCCAAAGCCATCCCACGTCCCGCCTTACGATTTTGTGCCTCTTGGGTTTTGGAAAATGGAAGGGTTTATAGAAGGATCTTCAAATTCTGCCGGTCTTTATGTCACGGTCAAAAGGTAGACACCAAGTCTGTTCTTTGACCCATATTTGTCCGGTATTTTTCCTTCAGTTTGACAACAGCTGACCAAGTGACCAATCTTTTCTCAGATCTGGTCTGTAAAAGTCTTTAATAACAATTCAAGAGGTGGGATTCAAGGTTTTTCTGCCCAGAAAGTACATGTTCTACAATCACTGAATTAAGTTGCCTTTATGTAGTTCCCATTCAACCTCTGGATTCAGGCTTCTCTCTCCTTTTTAGCCAAAAGACTGCTCAGGATTCCCAAGAGATTCGATCGGTGCCTTGGTCACAATCTGTACCAGTCCCGGCGAAGAATCAAGTTTATATCCATACCATCTTTCAAAGCAGGAAACTTAGGTCGTGGTGTTGCATTGGCGGTCCCTGGATCTTTAGAAGCTCCAGGATTTCTTTCTTTAGGAGTTGGTAAAATAGCTGAGGAGGAAAACAACGTAAGATTAGCATGTTTACTTTCTTCTTCAATCCTGTGACATTCAGCAGAAAAATATCTATGTTGATTAGTTAAAAAAATACATGAATGCGCTGAGATGGATAGCCTAACCAAACTATTCAAAAATAAACAAGATAGTGACTATTACAAAATATGGATCATTTGGTATGAGTGGTTAAAGAAAAGGTAATATTTGATATTTGGATAAGTTATGGAAATGGCAGAACATGTGCATTTAATCACAAACTATATAGAGACAATAAAACATTAAAAGAACGAAGGAGTTATTGTAACAAGGCAGATCACGTCAATGATAAAGATAAAGGAAAAAAAATTAACCATTGTTCAATATATGCTGTAAAATGTATGTATGTATGTATATATATTTATATTTATATTTGTCTGTTTTAAATGTATGTCAAATAAATGTTTTTTGTAGAATAAAAAAAATATCTATTTTGACAGCAGCTAAGATTCAGATACAGATAATCAGAGTTGGAAGGGACCTTGTAGGTCATCTAGTCCAACCCCCCGCCCAAGCGGGAGACCCTACACCATTTCTGACAAATGGCAGTCCAATCTCTTCTTGAAAGTCTCAACTAATGGCGCTCCCACAACTTCCGAGGGCAACTTCTGTTCCATTGGTTGATTGTTCTCACTGTCAGAAAGTTTCTCCTTGTTTCCAGGTTAAATCTCTCCTTGTTCACTTTCCATCCATTCTTCCTTGTCTGGCCTACAGGAGCTTTAGAAAATAGCTTGACCCCTTCCTGATTCAATGCGTGATTTGCTGTCTGGACATGAAACACATGATTGCTGTATCATCCTGAGAAATTTTGATCTAATTTTTTTCCCAGCCTGCTTCTATGATGAAGTTATGTAATTACTTGGCTGGTTATTCGAACTTCCGAACTAGTTTTAGAGGGAAGAAGTTGATCAGAATTGATTCATCTCTAATCTAACTCATCCATTCAGTCTGGTTCCTTGACCGAATGACTCCATGACTCAATGAATTCCCTTTTAAAATGGTTCCCTTTTAAAACTGAACCTCTTGAGTTGAGGAGTCATGCGTTCCTTTGATGGATGACATTCTGAAGTCCCTGGAATGGGAACAGGGTTAGTTTGAAATGAAAACCACGATAAATAATTTCCTGCCCTGAATTTGACTATCCTTATGCGTCCGTGTAAGGATATTCTATTTTTTCAAATGACAAAATTTTCCCTTCCCTCTGCTACCTCCCACAAATTTACCATAAATAAAGTTGCTATTATCATCTAAGCAAAATACTTTTCTTGATTACTCACCGAGCCCTAAGTATTCCTTCATATAACTTTTTTTAAGGGGGGGTGGAGAGACAGACATTACTGGTAGTCCTCGACCTATAACTGCAATGGAGCCCAATTTTTTTTGTTGCTGTGAGTTCATTTGCTAAGTTAGTTTCACCCCGTTTTGCCACCTTTCTTGCCACGGCTGCTAAGTGAATCACTGCAATTGTTAAGCTAGTCACACGGTTGTTAAGTGAAAATGGCTTCCCCGGTGACTGGCTGCAAAAGATGATCACATGACCCTGGTACGCTGAAACCGTCGTAAGTGTGGGTCAGTTGCCAAGCGTCTGGCTTTTGATCCTGGGGATTCTGCAAATGGTCGGAAGTGTGAAAAAATAGCACTAGTAATAGCTCATAGACTTACTATACCGCTTCACAGTGCTTTCCAGCCCTCTCTAAGCGGTTTACAAAGTCAGCCTCTTGCCCCCAACAATTTTGGGTCCTCATTTAACCGACCTCGGAAGGACAGAAGGCTGAGTCGACCTTGAGCCTGGTGAGATTCGAACTGGCAAATTGCAGCAGACAGCTGGCAGTCAGCAGAAGTTGCCTGCAGTACTGCACTCCAACCACTGCGCCACCCCGGCTCATGGTTGCAAGTCACTTTTTTCAGGGCTGCTATAACTTTGATCAGTCACTAAATGAATTGTTATAAAGCGAGGACTTGCTGAACTGTCCTACACTGCTGCATTTGTTGAAATACACAGCCTAGAATAGAATAGAATAGAATAGAATAGAATAGAATAGAATAGAATAGAATAGAATAGAATAGAATAGAATAGAATAG